AGTGCACACACACTAATAAGAAAAAGGATGAGAGATCTATAAAAGGACTTGTATGCATGAATATAAGTTAACCAATGGACACAGACAACAGGGGGATGGGGGCATGAGTGGGGGGGATGGGAGATAATGAGGGAATAAGGACACATATGTAACACAATAATCAATAAAGAAATTTACGAAAAAGAAAGAAAGAAAGAAACAGAATGAGCTCTCTCCCAGCCCACCTTTGTTGAATTCATCTGCGCCTGAGGCAGGACATGTCCGCCATCACATCATGCGCCCAGAAAAGAAGACACCTGTGCATAGCAGATCGTCCCCACCTGTTCCCATGACCCCAAACAAGGAAGGGAGTGTGGTGTGTGCCACCTTTGACGTCATAAGTGCTAATGAAATAAACAAGCTCCTCTCCCTGGAACTTGTACCTGACAGGCAGCCTCCAGGTGACCTGCGGCCTCCACCTCTCACATTTGTGGGGCACAACTCTTGCCGTTGAGTGTTCCAAACATCCTTGGAAAGATGTCCTTTTCTGCGGAGAATCTGAAGGCTTTCCCGGAGCACTTTGATTTCTTTCAGACGCCCCCCCCTCTCACTCCCCACAAGAGTCCCAGAGTCCGCCTGTGTCGCTGCCTGGGGGCACACTACAGAGCCCCATGGCAATTTACTAAAGTTCCCATGGCTCTGGAAGACAGTCTCTCTGCCCGGTTTGGCACTCTAGGCTCCCAGTGGGGAACTGGGGAGAGAGTGAGAGATGTGATGCCCACTGGGGGGGAGGGGGGCTGGGGGTTGGGGCTCTAGCAGAGGGCCAGTTATTGGAATTACTAGATACCATGGTTACTTCTGTTAAGGCATACTTCCTTGGTGCTTGAACAGCCTCCGACATCTGACCTTAGCCACTGTACACATCACCTGTGACAGTGGGAAAGGAGCAGCTATGTTCCCAGTGAAACGTTTATGAACACATACATAGGTTAGGCTGTTTCAGTACAGGTTGGGGTTGTTAGCAATAACCACCATTTTTAGTTACTTGTTATCACTAGTAAAATTGTTTTTGCAAACTGTTTTCATTCTTATGATGACACTGAGCAGCTCTAACAATTTTTAGTTTTCCTTGGAAACTATAAAGTAGTCCAAAATTATTTTAGAGGGAATTGATAATGAAGGCAAAAGAAAATTTGCAGTTATAACTTTATTTTTGATAATCTAAATAAAAGCATTGCTTGAACTGTTTCAGATTTTACAGCTGTACTTTATTGTATAATGTTTCGGTTCCCATTCTGTAAAATGTTATTTATAATTTTTTATGTTCTGAATAAAGCATAGACCTCCTCCTTATAAACAAAAAGGGTTTTCTAGCAGAATACATGTTTTAATGTTTTAACCTTGTTTGGCTTTTGAGATAAACTCAAGCATAGATTAAGTACATTTCATTTGGTTGTGAAAAATATTCATTCACTTTTTTTTTTCATATCAAGTGTAATGTACCATTTTCATGTTGATTTTTCATGATAATTTATTTTCTATATATTTTGGTTGAGCTTCATACTCATAGATGAGTAAAAGGACACTTTATGTTCTACCATCAAAACTTATTTTACACATTTTTATCTTTTAAGAAAGGTGGAGATTGTATGGAATCTTTCTTCTATGAAGATTTCCTATTGATTCAAAAAAGAACAATACATTCTGAATGTTTTAATGTATAAGTTTTAAAAATCTGGAATGTATGAATCTCATACAAATGTATAGTAGGCAAGTATAAAAGATTGGCTAAATTTATTAATGAGGGATGCAGCAGAAGTATAAAGCTGTCCAAAAGAGGATAGAAAAGAGTGCTATCTTATATAATAAAAGGGTAATATGCAAATTGACAAAATGGTGGAACAACCAGTCGCTATGATGCACACTGACCACCAGGGGGAAGATGCTCAACGCAGGCCCTGATCGCCTAATGTCCAACAGGAAACCAGGGGTGGGTGGCAGCAGATTTGGGCAGTGCCAGGCCTAGGCCCTTGCTCCCGCCTGTGGCCCCACACAGAGAGGGTGACAGGCATTGGGAGAAAGGGCTGGTGAACAAGCAGGAACAGCCAACCTCTTGGTCCCTCCCATTCCCCCCTCCACCACCTTCACCCCCAGCCAGCAGGCTCTGATCAATTGGAGATATTCTACAGGGCAATAAAACCATAAATTTTTGAGTAATATTTCTACTAGACAAAAATAATTTGTATCACATCAACTAAAAAATAATTTGCAACTCACTCTTGCTTTTCAATTTAACATCTAATTTTTAAAAGTATGGGCCTAACTAATAGTAAAAGTAAGTTTTAAAAAATGCCTTCTTCTAAAGAAGTGAAACATCTTTGGGAGGAACTAATCAATGCTCCAAGATATCATTGCAAAGTCATGCAGCCAGAATCAGCCTATAATCCCTGTTTAAAAAAAAAAAAAAAAAATATATATATATATATATATATATTATTTTGTCTAATACTCTGTGTCAACACTTATATGCAATATTTTACTTAATTCTCAAATGAATATCAATGAATATAGGCCTTTATGTGAAACTCTGATTATTTCCTTATGAGAATCAACTTGAATAAAAGAGTTTAAATATTTTGAAGGTTATTGATGTACATAGCCAGATTCATTTTTATCAGGGATATTATCAATCTCTACTACTCAGGTAGTTAGTATACTCTGACCATCATACTGACAGACTTGAGCATTATCATTTTAAAAATCAGGCAACTTGATAGATGCAAAATGAAATATCTTTTCCAGTTACCTACAATATCTGGTTACTAGTAAAGTTGATTTAAAACAACAACAACAACAAGGTTTTGTGCTTTTCTTTTAAAATTGTTATTTGCTTATTTTCCTATTTAGATGTGAGTGCCCATGTTGTGAGTCCTTTTAGCTTTTAATGTCTGAGGGACATTAACCCTGTGTTTTAATTCTTACACATCAAAGAGCTTGTCATGAACAGCATTAATAGAATATTTTATATGAGGAATAACAACATCATAAATGGCACTCATTTGTGCTTACTTGAAACTCAACGTAAGATTATACTAATAAAGATGTAATGTTTCCTCTTGTTCCATTAAAACTCCTTTATTGAAAAACGTTTTATGTGAAAACTATCTGTACAAATAATCTTAATAAGGGTGGAGAACCGAAACTATAGGAAACAGGTATTTGTAAATACAAAATTCTTTGCAAATTGGCAGCAGGCATTATATTAATAGATAAACAGTATACCTTTAGGTGATTGTGTTTAGAACAATTTAGAATATCTGGGTGATCATCCACAATAGTTTAAATAAAATTTTTTTGTGATGTGCTTGTAAAAAAAATCAAGAACTGAAACTGATATATCCTCAAGATGGATATATATATATATATATATATATATATATCTTATATACAAGTACATTATAAATAAATAACACATTTTAAATAATATGTAAATTGCATATATGTATACATAGATATAGAACTATGCAATATAGAGTACTAGAGAAGAATTATGATGGTAGATATGATAGCTATTGAAGGAAAATTTTGAGCTCTGTAGAATCCTTAATAAATCCGTTCATATAAAAGGATAATCAATTTTGGTCACTTTTTTGTTGTTTGATGTTGGTGGGGATGAGACTAGAATTCCAAAGAAAGTGTGAACCACCATGCTCTCTGCCAGGGTCAGAGACCCACAAGCCTAAAGTGTGATTCCCAATGAATCTACAGTCCTTTGACTTCTTTCCCTGGCTCCCTTTGCTGAGGAAGCCAATGATTAGATGCTTTGTGCCAGGAGTGGGGGGAGGGGCAGGAGGGAGGAGACTGGGGAGAGGAAATCCTAGAAAAAAATATCTTGGGAAAACTCAGCAGGCCTCACCTCCGCGAAGGGGAGCTCAGGGGGCGCAGCGCTGGCTGCCCAGGTCCTGGGTTCGAGCTAGCTTGGGACCTGGGGATGCCTGCCCACCCCTCGCCCTCCACTGTGCACCTGGAGTTCCCTGGAGTCCTCCCTGCGCTTCTTGTCACTTTGCTGGTTGAGTGAGGGGAGGGAACAAACATTTGTCTCTTCCTTAGAACTCCTAGACCCCAAAGGCCCAGTAAAAGCCGAGATGAGGCAAGGGCTGGCATGAACCCCTGAGAAGTCGGACTCCAAACCCCGACTGGTCCCCAGGCCAGTGCTGAGCTCAGGGGTCCTTTGGTCCTTCACCTTTGGGAAGATGAATGAGGAGCGTGGAGGAGTGGCGTCCTGGGCGGCTCTGAGAGCCCTGAACTGGGGGCCTGGGGTCCCCGGGGAGGAGCCTGTGACCACCCGCGCTCCGGCTCCAGCTGCGCTCCTCCTCCGTGTACCTCCCTGCACAGGCACCCGGGGCAGGGGTTTTCCTGTGGAATCCGCGGGCAAAGTTGTGGGCCCTCACCCCTCACTCCAACTTGCCAGATCAGATGCTATTCCCGACTGGAGCTGCGGGGAGGTGGGGGAATTTACTTCTAATCCTTTTACGTGTGTGCTCAGCTCGCCCTGTGTGGCTGGGTGTGGAGAGGAGGGAGGGGGTTTCCAAGCCCAGTGGAGTTCTCATTCCATGGGTATGAACCTGCCCGCGTGGTTGGCAGTGCTTAGAGTTTAGCAAGACTGCAAATAAGCACAGAACACAATAGAGTCCCCCTCCCTTCCTCTCTCCTTTTTTTTTTTTTTTTTTCTTTTTTTTCTTTTCCTGCTTCCAAATGCTTTCTTTGAGGCTGAGGCTGGGCAGGTCTCCAAAGGTGCAGCAGCCACAACAATCCCGTAGTTCAAAGTTAGGCAGCAGTTGCACAACTCCCAGCAGCTCTCTCAGCCTGCTGCTGCTAATGAGCTGAAAGCCAGGGGCATCGCAGGAGGTGAGCAGGAAGCTGCCAGGCCTCCTCCCTTCATCCCAGAAACCCAGGCGCTCCTACCTCCCATCCTCAGATAAGTTGGGGATAAGCTCTTGCTGTGCACTTGCCTGGCGACCATGGCTCCCTTTGGAAGAAACTTGCTCAAGACTCGGCATAAAAATAGGTAAAGTCCAGCGGATGTGTGCTCCGGAGTCTGGGTGAAAGTGTGTGAGTTGTTGCGGTTGGGTTCCGGTAAAAATTGTTCTCTGGAGACAGAGCCCTAGGGAGTGAGGGCTTGCATTTGTACTTAACTGGTGAGGAGATTGCTTCAGAACCAGTGACTGCGGTGGCCAGGGCAGGGATCGGCTGGAAATGATTTTTTTTAAACTCATTTTTCTCCCCATGGGCCAGTCATTATGCCATAATATAACCCACATTTCTCCTGGTGTTGCCTTACATATTTGAGAGTAGTAGGCTAGCAAGTTTCATTTTGTTTTAGACAAAATTTTTGTGTGTTATATGAAGAGTTAAATGTTTATGAATATATAGGTAAAATTAATTAACCACTAATGAGAACGAAAAGCACGGTTGCTGATAAAATCCTGAAACAATGCTTTGGCTGTCCTTAAAGTAGGGCAGACCTGAAACTTGAAAAGTTCCTGAAGTGAAAATACTCTGTTAGAGAAACTTTTCATGGACTGGTTCTTTGGGAAATGTTTGAGAACTTTAGGGGGTTTCAGGAGAATTCAAACAGCTGTCCTCCTTAATCCTTATTATTGATATTTTACTTTGATTTGATTTTCTTTGCACTTTCAAGCCTGAAATGCCCATACTGTACATCATTTATCTTACTCCCTCTCTCTCACTCTCTCTGTCTCTCAGTCTGTCTGTCTGTCTCTCTCTCTCTCCCTCTCTCTCTCTCTCTTTCACACACACACACAGATTTTTTGAATCAATATGTGTGTTTCATTTCTATTCAATGTTTTATTAACACCTTCAATGTTACATCTCTATGCCAAAAATGTGAAGATAATTTTATACATGGGCTGTACTTTTTAAATATATTTATTTGGGCCTAAAGCCTTTTCCACAGTTCTTCTCTCAGTCATGCCTGTTTGTACTTGTAATTTATTTGTAAATTTAAAAGCATACAATTAGATGGTAGGAAATGATACAATTATTTTAGAGTGTATGCATAACAATATGGGAGTGGTACAACTTTAAAGTAAATCTCCATAGTTTAATTGGTATATGAATGCCTATTTGAAACATTCTGTTTTTAACTCATTAACTCATTCCAAATGTATTCATGATTTAGTTGACTAAGTTTGCTTAAGAAACTAAAACAGCAATAATTTATAGTATAAAATTTTCTGAAACAGTTTTATTTGCTAATAACTTACAATAGACCACAAATATGATATATCTGGTAACTGGTAAAACTATGTTAAAATAAATAAATGTGTTTGGGTAGTATTAAAAAAATGTTAGTGATGGTTATCAAAAATAGGTCTGTATCTTAGTACATGCAAAATACTCTAAAATACTCCCCTTTTCAAAATAAAATCCTTACTACTTTTTAAATGATTATTCAGTAGTATTATTTATGTTACTTTTTTTAATGCTGTCAAAATATATTGAAATTTATTTGGGAAAGTTGATGGCTTTATAAGACAAGTTATATTTCTGCCATACTGATCTTTTTTAATACTCCCCAGGTAGTTCAGGATTATTGTGCGCATGCGAGTGTGCTTGTCTTTTGCTTTTTTATTACAAATTCAAGAATTCTGTCATTGCTATGCCAAATAACAGTGCAACAAGGCTTTGCACACACCCCTGTGAGTTTCCCTCAGGGGAGTACATGTCCACTTTCATTACCTCCATTTTGCTACTGCTCCATCTACTCTGCCCATAAAACTAATTTTTGTTCAAGGAGGTGAGTACAGAAATATTTTTTAATATAACATTTTCAATGTAAAATTATTAAAAAGTGGAAAGAATAATAAAAAATGAAGAGTCTCATAGTATTTCAAGTTTTTCTGAGCAAATGGAATGGTGCTCCAAAAGATGATGCTCTATTATGAATGTGTTTTCACAAAGGTGGTAAGTAATGATACTTTCCTTTTATAATTGAGAGCTTCTGTTTACAGGTTTGTATTTTTCTAACCTTAATACAAATTTAAACCATAGTGATAGTCGAGTCTGTAAAAATAAGAGTATTTCAAACTAAGCAGTAAATAATTTATATAATTATATTGAAATATGATTAATTTACTTTTTCAGTATTTATTATTGCTATTGATAATATATTTTTGTTTTCTTTTGTTTTATTTTTCCACATGTTTCTCTCTTCCTCCTCCACCCCTTCCTCCCTTCCACTCTCTCTAAAAATCGATGGAGAAAATATCCCTGGGTGAGGATTAATAAAAAATAAAAATTCTGGTTGATATTTGATATAATGCAAAACCCAGGGAAATAGACAAATAAATAATTGGATTTGGACACCAAGTTAATCCTACCCTACTAGATCATCTTCTAAATTAAAAATTTTCAGTTCTAAGTTTCATATAAATAGAAGAAATGGAGCCAATCTAAAATGTGTTTAAAATCAGAATTAACTTTTAAATTTCTCTAACTTATTAGTATTTAATTGCGAGAGTAATTTACAGAAGAGCTTTTACTCTCATTTATTTTGGTTCCAGAATAATAGAATGTTCTAAGACTGAATCCTAAAGATCCATGAAGACCTTATTCAACTTCTTATTCAACATGAAGAATAAAAATGTTGGAGATTCTAGATATTTTCTTTTCAATAGACTATTTAAAATTCTGAAAGTGTTTTCTGAAAGTCACTAGATAGACATTGTTTCTCATATAAAACACAAAGAAGCAAATTGTGAAGCCCAACTTGACTTGGCATTCATACGGACCTTCAGGAATGGGATTTAGATTATTAGCCTTTTCAGATATTCACATAGGTTCCATTTGTGGTCCTGATCATCTTATTAGATTTGATTGTCAAAATAGCATTGTTTTGAAAACTATTGCTACTAAATAGCAACCAACAACTTTTTTAAAAATTCAGAAAAGTAGAATGCTACTATAAAGCTTTTAGGGATACTTGGTTATGAGTTGTGATTCCTTGGGCTTTTCATTATAAATTTGAGGTCAGAGAATTGCTTAGACCTTTTACTAAACTTTGCTAGAAGCAGAAAATTGTCATAGGAAAGCAGCATCCCATATCTTCATTTGAAATTTAAAATAGTATAATTTATTTAGGTGATTTGTAAAAGGAAATTAATTATGATTATGATAGGATCTAATCTGGTTAACATGGCCTTATAATTATGGTTAAGCACTATTTAGGCCACTCTTGACTTTTCTTTGGCTTTCCCTATACCTATGGATTGATGTCTATCACAGGTGATAAGAAATATTGTCATAATATCAACTTGAAATTAAAAGTCTCCAAAAAAAGTTCTTGTAATAAATATATTAGAAATAAAATGCAGCTCTCTTGTTTATAGTCGATACATAAAATCTGCATTTAAATTTGCTTTTGTATCAATTAGAACACATCTGCCAAGCTTTTTAAACTAGATGTTTCATATTGCTCCCATAAGTACATCATGCCAAAAATGCTTCATCAGAAGGAAGAATTAAGTTTTGCTGGCAGGATAGTTATTTTCTCTGTAATTAGAAGTATGGTAATATATAAATTCTGCAGAATGGGGAGTTATTATGTAATGTTTTGTTTGACTTTCAATGAATATTTAAAATGGTCCCAAAACTGGATTGAGAAATGTCAGATATTTGAGTATTAACATCTTTTTAGTTCCCAGGAGTTCCTGAAAAAATTTGCCCTTAAGAATACCTGGTAACTTAAGTAGTTACTAGTTGGCAGCAGACAGCCCATTCAGAACAATGAATGGAATGCTCTATTCCTGGCAAAAATATCCTGAGAACTGTAGCAGAGGTGAAATTGAGCTCTAGGTTAAATCTTGAATTGTTACTCAGACAACTATAAGCTGACTTAAAATCACTACATAAGATGTGTTATAATGCCCTGTACTAATTCATGAGACATTAAATTATAAAGTTCTTAACTGGATTTTTTTTTTTGAAAAAAAAAGTTTTAAAAAGTCTGCAGCTGGTTAACAATTTTATTTACAAGGAAATTTGATAGTAGCTTCAAGTAATTCACAAAATGTGGCTGTCTTTTTATTTTAGTTCTAAAGGTGGATGAACGTTGAAGTGGGGCATGAGTTTACCTCTTTAGGTGCATGTGGATTCCGGTTATGTAAGAGCAATCTCTTTGTCTCTAGCACATTAGTTTTCTAAAGTGAGGCAATAATCAGCACCAGGTACATGTGGAAGGCAAAAGTTCAGCATACTTCCTTGTTCTAATATTTTTTTTAACGTATGTTTGCTTAGGAGTTTTTAAATACTTCTTTTTGGCTAAATAAATATACACAACACATATACTATTGGTTTCTCAAGAATCAATTATTTAAAATATATTTTGATTCCATTCCTGTAGAGCCTGTTGTAATACTACTTTTTAGAGGAAGTTTGCATAGTTGTTGATTATAATGTAAAGCAATTGCTAATGTGAATAGTCACCCAGGAGTAAAGTTATTATTTTATGTGAATTGAATAGAGCCTTGGAAAGATGCTTAGCACTGGCAAGATATTTTAAGGATAAGAATAATCAATGATAATTAAATATGTTGACAAAGAAAGTTATCCTGAAAGGCTTATATCTGCAGACTATAAAGCCTTCTTGCTTTGAATAAATGGAATTAATATATACTCTCTAAATACAGCTAATCACTGTACAGAACTTGGATCACAGGAATAGAGCAGTATCCTTGATGCATGGGTAACTTAAAGAATGAATCCAGAAATTCAACACTTTTTTTGCATTTGAATAAATAGTAGTTCAAAATATGTAACTATTTAAATTTTTTACATAATGTTACTTTTTAATTTATCCTTCTTGTTAAAAGTATTATAGATATCCCTTCCCCCTTTTCTTCCCATTGACTCTATCCATCCACCACCCACCCCTCCCAGGCCTGATCACCCCTCAGGGCTTCTCCAACTCCCCCAGCTCCTGAGGGACAATGGGGGCTCTCAGCCCCTGCTCCCTCCTGCTGCTGACTCTGGCCCAAATTGCTCTGC